ATAGAGAGGCACGTTAACGCCTTTTAACCAGATTTAAAAAAGGGTAATTATATCAGGCCGCAAATACATGTTTGTTATGCTTCACGCCAGAACCAATGCTGTTTGCAAAAGCATTGCCGCAGGCACAGTCCGCGAAGTATACAAATTTCACCGGCAAAGTAGCTATTCTGAAAGGTCTAGATCGTAATAAACACTTCGACCCAAGCCCCATTATAGTTAAGTGTTCCGTTTCATATGTGTAAAGGCGTATACTACCTAAGTCGCTTGATGAGCAGTATATACTGGAGGAGCACTTATAATATAATTCGCGCCACAACAGTGAAACGTTAATTCCAGTCGCAATTACAGTGGGGGGGCTTAGTCTAGATTCAAAGAACAGCCAGGAATAGCGACTTTATAATCAAAATTCTGCGTTCAAACCTCATCTCGAGACCGGGTTCAAACCTACTGGGCGATTGCAACACAGGATTTATATCGCAACTCTGTAGGAGTTATTTTGTTCTTTGCCCGAACAGCGTGATGATATCAAAAGCAACTTACTGAGAGTTTCATTTATGTTATTCAGTTTAAGTTAATTTTGCAGAGCTCTAGTGCATATACCAGGAAAGGTTCCAACGTTCTGGCATAGCACAACAACGCATTGAAGTCAGAGCATGTGTATGGGTTCCATCCTTATTTTAAAATTTCTGTTTATAGACCTACAGATTGAATAACAGCCCTCGACTCTACTTGGTCTCTGTGGGTATGAGAATTAGTATATAAAGAGGGCCTCCGGTCTACCGTTGACAGTCCCTTTACACTTCTCAACCCATACAATAATCTCGTCTCAGAAGAATCATCTGCAGATATATATCATTTATGCATAGCAGTCTTCTATATTAAAATTTACCACCTACATATACTTTCTTTCACTTGATAACTGTTACCCGCTCCCTCCCGAGTCTTAATCGGCGAGGGGCTTTGCTCTCTTCTCAATATTGAAGCCTTTTTCTTGGTTCTTTTTTATATAAATACAAATCTCTGAGGGAAAGCCTAACTCGCATCTCACAAGTATGAGAAGCAATTTCCTCTCACCCATTTCCACCCTCGTAGGGTTCTGGCTCCTCCTTGGCGCCTGTTTGGGCAGTGCTCTTCCACACGGATCTGGTCTTGTCCGCAGAGATGTCGAACCAGGAACGCTTCTGAAAGACTATTGGCAAATCGGAAGTCCAAGACCTACCTGCCGCGTCGGCCTCTACCAGCACATATTTTACTTCTCTAGGTGCCACTGGGAGGGGATACCGTTGAGTAATTCCGAACTCGAAGAAGATATACCCGCAAAGGACGGGGTATGCCGTAATTTTCAAGATCTCAATAAATGTTTAGGTAACAACCTATTGAGCATGGCAAGAGCTGTCCTTGCACAAGGGTATTGCAGATGTGAATTCTACAACGCCAACAATTGTCAGGGTGACCAGTGGACAATGCAAAATTCCATCTTCTTTACCATCAACGCCTCCAAGCGTTTGCCCAAGAGCTTCAGATGCTTTCACGATACCGGATTTTCTAAGTTCGAGAAATGCTCCCTCGGTCTCTCGAAGGATGGCACATTGCTCATCGAGGCCAACTCTGGAGGGACACCGGCTAACGGCGACGAACCAGCCCTACCGAATGTACGTCTAATACGCACCAAAGACTGGAATGGAGGTGAACTCCCAGCATACATGAACGAAAAGGCCATTTTTGAAAAGAACCAAATGGACCCGAAAACCGGGCAAGGCGACTGCAGGAAGTATGGCAAAGCTGAGGGCGGACTCCCCGTAAGGGGTTGGGCCAGCCAGGGGTGTACTTGTCACCTTTTCACAGACGATGCATGCAAAAAAAGAATTCTAACGGAGGGCGACGAAGGTCCCAGATTCAGGTACGAGTTTACAGAATTACAAGAACAAAAAATAAGAAGCTACCGATGTGACTTGCCCTGGGGGCTGGAGCTCTACGGACCGGGCAGTAAACGAAGTGAATGGAAAGATTATGATTTTTATTTTAAAGAAGGCGGGGAAAAGGGGGGTATGTCTCCAAATTAGCAAATCAAGCCAAATCCTGAATGGGAAGTCTAAAAGAGAGCTTCGGTCTGCAGGGTTGACAAAGATAGCAGAAAAGTCACATGCGATGCTTCGGCGAGCTAATTTACTACCAATATAGAGTTCTGGTTGCGAGTTAACTCTTAAAATTTTGGTATTTAAACACCAGTTCTATTTGTTCGTACAGGTGCGCATACTTATGTTTTTTTGTCTGCTTTTAGTTACATTTGTACGTGCGTACTCGAGATTCTTCCCTTTCCTTTCTTGTTTTGGTTCCGTCTCGCCTCATTTGGATCTGATATTGCATTCCAGTCTTTACCATCTACCAACCTACATGTTTTGTGCCGTCTTTCTAGTTCTGTATTTCTGTTTCTCGGAATAGTACTTTCCTGTTTGCCTTAAATTTACCTGTATGTACCTAAGTACTTATTACCTTCGAAATTTTACCTGTATGTACCGACTTGTTACCTTCGAAAAAACGCAAAAAAAAAAAAAGAAAAAAAATGAAACATGTGTTGCCGTGCGTGTCATTTCCGAGTATGGATATCCAAAAGTGGTTATATACAACAAACTGTAGTTTGAATTTTTGACCTTCGGGTCACATGGTCAATTTGAAAGTAGGTTTTTCTCCCTGCCAAAAGAACTCGCGTTCGAACCCGATCACTAACGTTCTTTCTTTCAAACAGCGATACAGAGAAGATTAGCATGGCCCCTGCACTAAGGATGACACGCTTCAACAAAGAGTAGCTAAAAGTTTTTTTGCACTTTTTTACTCTGGAAAAGTAAATTCGCCATTTGTATTCTCACCTTATTTTATATTAATTATTAAATAATCTCAGCGGACTTTTTTCCTCCCCCATTCTCCAATGCTCAAAGTTCAATGTCGGCCGCCTCAACACAAACACCAACACATTTTATCGGCTCGAGGCAGGCACAACACATTCAGCACCTCACCCTTCGATAAGCATCAGGCGATGTAGGGTGCCGGCTCAGAGGTATCGCATATCTTAGATACGATTTTAGTTCCTTGATTAGCAGCATGGGCTATTAGGCTTCCCTTGGCTTCGTGCCCTCCTATATTATGTACCTACAACTGTAATATCACAGCTCGTAGTACCACATCACACTTCAAGAGAAACCGTATATTATCGCGACCTGCCTCGGTTTTAAGTATTGCAATCGACATCATATCACGGTGAAGTGCATACCTCGACGCGCTCTTGGCGAAGCTCGGGCCTCATTTAGCGCTAGTCTCGAGTCCCATTGCAAACTCCCTAATGTTCATCCGATCTTTTCGACCTCACTCTCCTCATCAAACCCATTCAGACCCCCATTCATGATAAACATGCCGTCAAGCATAGATACAGAAAGTCTACCACTTATAAACCGTGGCCGGGATGCCGTCCGTAGAGTGTCATCCGTTTGGATCGGGTTTCGAGGTATGTACCACCGAGGCATGCGACATGTCGTCGAGCCCGGCCGTTATCTGTCATTGCAGTTGATCATGACTGATTGCTGATGGTTAACGATACCCCATCACAGACTTTGCTCTCCGCGATAATGTCCTTGAGGTCGCCGTCGGTCTTATGTAAGTTAACCCCCGTCCTTGCCTTTATCTAATTTTTGTAATTTTTGTATATCGGGTACATGCATAGAGTTCTCGCTGTATTGTCCACGAGCTATTGGCTTCGGGCCCCTGAAGCATGAAGCTCATGTCTTTGTGTTACGTCACTGTACTGTCCTGTACCACCTACTAACAATTCAACTCGATCAACACAGCGTCGCATCTGCATTTACATCCGTCGTCAATTCTCTCGTCGCAGATATCATCCTGCCACCGATATCTCTCATGTGGCAGCAGAGCCTTGCTGAAAACTTCATAGTCCTAAAGCAGGGCCATAACGTAACTGCTCACTACAATACTTTCCAACAGGCGCAAGATGATGGAGCCATTACATGGAATTATGGGTATTTCCTCCCTTGAACTTTGCTATATATATATTGCATGGACCCAATTTCTAGTAGAACCAGAGCTAACGGATGGTATACGATGATATCACAGCCACTTCTTGGAGAAATTGATCCAATTCATGTTGCTTGGTGTTACGCTCTACGCTCTGGCTAAATTCTACGCCCTGTTCTCGAGCGAGGCGATTATCAAGTATCAGACTAAGTGTCCTGCTTGTAGAAAGGACATTTCGGCGAATGCGAAGAGATGTCCGTTTTGCACCAGCTGGCAGGATGGCAGTGATCTCAATACTCATTAGGACATAGATATTATATTGCTTTCTTAGCGATTTGAGCGGTACAAAGGGTTGGGGTATATGGAGTTATACATAGGCGTGGTTGTGGAATATCTATGCATGGTGGGCTGGATTTGGGGTTTTGGTCAAGTTGGCGCATTGCGGTAGATCAACGGTACCATGATATGCATTAGCGGAATTGTTCTTAGAGGAGTATATGTAGGTTAGCTTCGGGGAGTTCGGGGTGGCGGTTGATGCTGGACATCTAAACCTATACCTTCCATCATGATATCAATAGAAACCTCGAGGCATCGAGTTCTGAGGAGAAAACCAGTCCGTGTTGCAGACCAAGCCCAGCATTATAGGCAACACATCAATCCACCCCCATCCCAGCCCCTTCAATAGGTGACTTGCACACGCCTGGATTCTACACTTGCGCTTCCTTCACAGCATAGCATGTCCAGCTACACAATTTGAGTACTTGCAAACGCCCACCTCGCAACATGAATCGTCCGTCAGCAATATCGATGGCGATAGTCTTCAGGTTCTGCGAATTCAGCAACTGCCGCTAACAGCACAACCTTACAAACATGCTCCTATATCCATAGACAGCCCAAAGAATCGTGGCAAATAGACACGCCATCGACCAAACAAACACTATAGCTCAATCTCCGACCAGACACTTCAACCAAAGCAAGCGTTTGTGGTTTAGTGGTAAAATTGATCGTTGCCATTCGCTGGGTCTTCCCAGTAAACTGACTCGATCAGCCCCGGGTTCGATTCCCGGCGGACGCATCAACATAGACCTTCGGGTCTTCTCCTTTTTGCCAAAATTCTTTTTTAGCTCTCGTAGACACTTTCCTTTTTTGGAGGCGGGTTATTATAAAATACGACAGATTTCAACACATCTCCCTCTCTTTTCTTCAGTTCGTTGATCGAAGGATGCCACGGGCACAAATCAGAAGCAAGCGAAATATCTTCGGAGCAAGGTGGAAACTATGAAGGTTATATACAAAGAACTTTATCTGGATACTGAGTTAGTATACTTAACGTATCGGTTTCTGAATTGATTATCGGCTCCCTATATAAAAATGACCATATATCGGTCCCTATCGCACTACCAACTTTGCTTTAAGATTGATGGGGTTCTTTTTTGATATATTTTTATTTTTAGTGGATATCATACAGGAATAGTGTTTCCGAACGCCGGTGGTAACAACAGAAAAGCTGTGTAAAAGACCCTACGTATTATATATGCACGTAGAGAGATATTATAATTAATTAAACACAGCAAGTGAAAAGACCCTTAAACTCTCGTTAGGACTCTGGTATGTACTAGGAGTATATGTATCTTTAATCCTCTCTTTCTCTTTTTTTGAATGCTTATTTTTTTTTTATATTTATTTGAAAGGATATACTATTCAGAAGCTTTCCTCTCGCCGCTTGGCGGGGACTTGCTACGAGTCCTGTTGGCCGTGCTATACTTAATCGCAGCCGCCTGCTGCGCAATAATAGCGTTATTCCACGAGGTATTCCCCGCAGAAGTTCTAATCGGGGCCGGAACCCGTTTTATCGATCTATTCCTCCCACTACCCTTCGTGCTCCTCCTCGGCATCAACAACTGCCTTTGAGTCGCGGGTGAAAGGATCTTCTGGGGTGTCTCCGATCCATCTCCCTCATTTTCGTCATCGATAACAGTAAGCGTATCCATCCACTCGCTCTGCGCCGAATTTCTACGGTTCTCCGATCCTCGCCGGCTATTCTTCCTTCTAATGCTACCGGCGCTGGCGGTGGAGTTCATACGGAGGAGGGAGGCAGTATCCTGTACCGATACTGATCTTTTACGTCGTAGCGAGCCGCCGGGTTGGTAGCTGCCGTGGGGTTTTGATCTTTTTGGTGGGGAGTAGGGGAGTTCGGCTTCGCCGTAGGCAATGCTGGGCGGTTTGTATAACCGCGGTACGCGGATGTAGAAGTCGTCGTTCGGACTGGTTAAATCGGGACTTGTGACTGTGTGTTCATTCGGGGTGGGTGTTGGGGCTGTGTGGATTCTGCGGGATGGGGCTCTTTCTATGCCCGGGGAGTAGATTGATGGTGATACCGATGGCGGGGTTATGCTTCTTGAGCGTTGTTGTTGGTAGTAGGAGGAGCTGGGCACGGGGAGGTATGTATCTGCGAAATCGGTGGCGGCCTCGCTGTTATTCCTGTGTCTTGCTTGCTGGGGTGGTTGGAGTTTTGGGGATTTTTGGCCAATGTTGAATTCGGTGGGGACGTTGCTGAATTCGCTGTGGACCGAGCCTTGTCTTTCGCGGGAGGGGTGGGGTCTTGCTGCCGCCCCTAATGCTAGTTGGGAGGGGTGCGGTCGAGGGGTGTTATTGCTGGTTGGTCGAGATGCTGCCGCTACCGGGGGCATTAAGCTCGCGGTACGGTTGTATTCTTCTTGATGATCCTCATTATCTTGAGGTCTTACGGGCCCGCTTATGGGCAACCGTGTGGCGTCCCGTGGGAGAGTCGGGAGACTATTTGATATCTCCCATTTCTTTTCGTTTATTGCAGGCTCCTCGATGTTTTTGCTCATGCCCCTTGAATCGTAGAATTTCTGCTGTTTTCTGTTGATTTTATAAAAGTTATTTGTTAGTATTTGTGTCATAAACAAAATTTTATGTGCATTATATGCATCTTAGAGGAGGGGGGTCCGGGCGTTCCTACCTCCTTCTCGCCCAGAGGAAACGGCCAACGATCAAAAGGAGTGTGAGCAGCACTGCAAGGCCGCCAATTAGACTATCCGTATGTACTTGTTAGTAAATAGACACTAATCGGATTGAGAAAATTGACTACATACGCATATTTTGCCCCGACGGGCATATCCTCGAAAGCCATCCCTTCCTAATACCTATATGTCCGTATATATAATGCTATAGCAAAGTCGTACCAGTTGAATATCGGATGAACGAGTGATTCGAATGAAAGTGATAAAAAAGAAGAACAAGAACAATGATCTACCAGTTCTCGGACTATATTTTTTTTCGTGCGGGCCGAATGGAAGTTGAGCTTGAAGTAAGGAGTGAGAAAAAATAGCGCTAAGCCCAGAATTATAATTATCACCAGAATCCCAAGCTGAAATGCGAAAAGAGCGTGCAGAACAAAATGTGACCTGTTGTGACCAATATGTTGGAATTCTGGATCTGTTGAATTTGTGTTGAACGAGTGGGAAATGGGACACCAAAAGGGAAAGGCCGAGGTCTCGAAGGAAGGCTTCGGGCGGGATGCAAGGGCCTCTGCTCTACTGCCCGCACACAACTGGTGAAGCCATTCAATTGCAAGTATTCTCAAGTAAGGAGCGTGGTGGTGATGTATCCCATCGAAAAGATCGTTCGGTCGAGCCCGGAATGTTCAATTATACGGAGTGGTGGCTTACAAGTATAGGAAGACTAAACGCCCAGAAGAGACCTTCTGGGTGGCCCGATTCCTTTATATTTAATAAACATAGATCTGTCGACAATTATAAAAACTCAATAGCAATGCACTGCATGTACTAGCCAGCCGGAACCAAACGGTTACCTTGCTTAAGCTTGCAGTCCTAGTAAGTACAGAAATACACACTTCCAAGTTTGAAAAGTTTCACCAAGACATTTCGAAAGCGCACATGTTTCTAATCGTCTGGTGTATTTTTTGTTTAAACGCTTCAAGCTGCACATATGCACATGCGGTGCTTTTTCTTCTTCTTCTTGATCTTGTTTTTTACCGGCTTTTCCTAGCTTATAGCACTAGTTAGCCATAGGTTGGAAAACAATTGGACCGTGTGCAAAATGTATTTCTGGTTACCTTTTCCTGATTATCATCAAGAGCAGATCTTGGCTGCCGGGTGCCAATAAATGAAAGGATGTTGTTGCCTTTCGCATCCAGAAGCCGTTTATGTTCGCGCGACACAGATCATTCACAAACTTAAGGCCGAGGGGGAGGGGATCCGACAGAGCTGAGTTCGATCCTCAAACTGGTACCCTGGCAATAATCATGATCTGCTACTATGGCTGTGTCTTTTTTTTTGTCAGGCGCTTCACCCTCCCCCCGAAGTTTACAAGTCGATACGATTGATAAAAGAAACAACCCCTGTTCTAATATCCTGTCACTCTTTTCTTTCTTCACAGAATGTTACTGTGAGAAGAAGAAAATATGGATATTCTACTTAAGCATAAATTTTAGGTTACATAAGTGAAAGGGAAGCGTTCCAGTGATATTTTATCGGGATGTTGTGGCGTCCGCCTCCTCGCTGCATCCGAGATGCACCTGCAGCTATCTTTTGACCGCCGTTAGATTATATATAGATGATGCACAATTTAGATTTCGTGGTGTATACTAACTATCTACCTAAACTATACTATCTTTAAAAAGCGCTACGGCTAAATTTTCAACTACTGCAATGTCACCTTATATCCAAGGAAACTAGTACGCATGCGTAGGTGTAGAAAATTTTCGGAGTACAAGATCGGTGCGGTGACGTTTGGGATGTTACTTTTTGAGTTAATAGAACCCGAGTACTCGAGTATGCAGAAAGTCCAATAGGGTTGGATTCAATCGGACTGCAGCTCGGTTCGATTCTGCGGCAGTGTTAACATGTTTCGCGCGCAGGTAGGCTCGAATTCTAGATAGGTCTGCCTGTACATCATCATGGAAATTCATGATTTCGAAGCTTTTAGGACGTCGGCCCCGTTCGAAGTAGTTTGTTTCCAAAACATGTCAATTGTTCGATATACCCTTGCCATGTCTGAAAGATCCTCAAACAATAACTGACATCAAGAATTTGTCTTGTTATACTCCGGATTTTTTCGGGGTTATTGCGTAGGGCGTAACATGTAATAGGATCCCTTTCGAAGCTTCACCCACTTTTTTTTACAGATCCATGCGGGATCATACCCCAAGATCTATGCATGGCGATGAATCATGTCAAAAAGGAGTCTAGATCTTTTTTAATACAAATCCCGCCGTACGTGCAGCAACGACTGGGGCTCACGCGCGCGAGCTCCAGGCTATTTCGTGTTCGCATGATATGATAGCCTAGATACAATTTACCAGAGTTGAACGATTTCGCCTTCAAGCCTTTTCGTCCCAGTTTGAAACATCGCAGAAGCTAAAATCGCAAATTCTCCTCATACGAAATTTTAAAGTATGCATGCCTAGTTTAACCATACACGTCCATGCCAAATTGAAAAAGAATAAAAAATAAAAATAACATTCCATATCGACAACTTTAAATTTCGACTAGCGGAGTATCTACACTGCCGGTTCGAGGTATACCAGGCCCCCCCTTGCAATATTGTAGCAGAAGAATTTATTTTTATAATTAAATTTTGTTTTCTGATTCGAATTCGAATTTGAAGACTTGATTGAGCCTCCCTCGCGCTAGCCAAACCCCCATTCGAGCCGTGGAACTCACCCACCTTCTCCATAAAATCGATATTTCCCCTCCCAAACTAAACGATCACACGGTACAATGGGAAAGGAAAAAACACTCCGAGATCATACGGAATCCCGCATATTCCATACTACCATCAACCAGTCAGAAAGCGCATGTGGTGCGTTCCTAAAACTGTAAACGTTCGATCGAACCATATGTACCCTCACATATCATACATGACATATGACATGACAAGGGCACACAGGCCGCAAGAAGAACGATTAAGGTTGTGCATGGCATCCCACCCGAATTCCCCCCTTCGGATCCCAGCACCCCCCAGTGCTAGTTCGAAGTTGGTTCCAAGATGCAGAAAGTGTTCATGCAATGCATGATTGTTTAACCC